TTGGACGGGAACTCCACACAGCTGCCTGCAGTCCAACGTCATCTGAAGAGCCACACTTTGCTTATCCCAGTTTTAAAATAAAAAAAATGGCTGTGTGGCATTTAGGAATGGCCAGGTGGTTTAGGAATAGCCAGGTGTCTGCCCCCAAAGCTGCCCACTCTGTTGTACACTGGTAATGCAAAGGAACAACAACATGATTGTCATGGATCTGGAGAATATTTCAGACTGTTGGGCTAGGACTTCCTTCCAAATTAGGAAGCATGTTTTATCTTGAGACAATTTTGTATCCAAGATTATTTCCCCTCCATGACAAAACTGAAAACTCATTAAAAACCAAAGTGCTCTTCCTCATACCAATCATAACGGTTAACAAGAGCTAAAATTAACAACAGTTGCTAGTATTCTGGTGTTCCTCCAATCACAGAATTGTAGAGCTGGAAGGGATCCCTCAGGTCATCAAGTCCCACCTGATGGCTCAGGAAAACCACAGCTAAAGCACCCTTGGCAGGTGGCCATCCAACCAAAACTGCAATGAAGGAGGCAACATTACCTCATAGCTGTATGAATACGCCTGCATAATTCTTCCTGAGTTCATCCACAGGTAATCAATAAACACAACTTATCTTGAATACACCCTTGTGCCTACTAATGGCACAAGGAAAAAAAACTATACACTGAAGAAAAGGTGGGAATTAATGGTGAACAGAAAGAGCTCTGCTTTCCATGATGAATAGTACTACTGAGAACACTTCAGATATTTTAAAGGTGTAACATATTTATGGTTACATCTTGTTCAAAGAGCTCTTTGCGGTCTGACTCTTATATTAACAGAGTGAGGGAGAGGTATTTTAAAAGGTGCCCGATTAATTTTGTGAGACACTTTAGCTGAGTAGAACATATTTCATCCGAATGAGGTTTGAGTTTTATGCATCAATGTATAAGTCATCATGGCATATTATTTTAGAGTTAGGGTAACACTTCAGGGGAAATGTTCGCTATAAGCTTTATTAAAGGTATGGCACAATAGACCTGTTAATCTGCAAAACACTCTTGTGTGTTTATGTGCTGTAACTAGAGATGGGCACAAACTGCTGGTTTGGCAATTTCTGTCAGTTCATTTCTTGGCTGAATAGGTGGGCACACATTCATAGGCTGTGCTCTGCTGTCCTTGTCCCACTTCCTCTGGGCAAGAACCCTCTGAAGTGAAAAGCAGTTTGGTAGAACACAACACCCAAAATCCCCTCGGCTCAAGAAACTAGACTGCCAAAAAGAAAGATGGAGTTTAAATTTGTCATGGGACAGAGCTAACAAGGAGAGATTGGCAATTTTTTCACTTTTGGGTGCTTGCCTCAGGAGGTGGGGCTGGAACCGCCGAACATCTGTTCTGCCAAGAATCAAACTGGCACGAACTGCCAGATTGTTCATGCCCATCTCTAGCTGTAACCTCCATCCAGAAAAACCCAAGACATTTTGCTGCCTGAGGTGGAGCAGCAAATGTCCCCCTCACTAACGTTAACCAAGGCCAGGACATACTGTTTTAGCACACAAAGCTGAAAAATTTCACAACTCTCTTGCTCTCTGCTTCCTGGCAGTTAAAACAAAATAAAAAGTAGTAATCTATCATAACAGCTAGGGACGTGGTGGTGCTGTGGGCTAAACCGCAGAAGCCTGTGCTGCAGGGTCAGAAGACCAAGCAGTCGTAAGATCAAATCCACGCGATGGAGTGAGCGCCCATCGCTTGTCCCAGCTCCCGCCAGCCTAGCGGTTCGAAAGCATGCAAATGCAAGTAGATAAATAGGGACCACTTCGGTGGGAAGGTAAACAGCGTTCCGTGTCTAAATCACACTGGCCATGTGACCACGGAAAGATTGTCTTCGGACAAACGCTGGCTCTATGGCTTGACGAGCGGGATGAGCGCCGCCCCCTAGAGTCGGACACGACTGGACAAAAATTGTCAAGGGGAACCTTTACCTTTTTTATCATAACAGCTAAATCATGTTAGTGTTTGATGCAAGCATTAGTTGTGGGCTGCCAGCTGAAGCCAGTTAACAAGCCAAAAGTCACATGCCCAGGCATACACCAACACCTCCTCTATGAGAATCATTTACTGTAACAACCACTTCTTTTTGTATTTTCAGATTAAGTTAGTACAAAAAAAAGAGGTGTTCTCCTGTTTTGCCGATGTAAAGATTGAGGCCCTGCTCCATCATTTTCTGTTTTAAGCTTGCTAATGGGACTGTGGGAACTCACTTGAGGCACTTGAGAGCTGGGAGTGAAAAAGTGCCAATTTGTCCATGTTACCTCTGTCCAGTGACAAATTTAAACTTCATCTTGCTTTTTGGCGGTCTAGTTTCTTGAGCCGAGGGGATTTTGAGTGTTGTGTTCTACCAAATTGCGTTTCCCTTTAAGGTGACTCTATGAGATCATGGCCACTGGTCCCATCGTCGTCGTTTAGTCGTGTCCGACTATTCGTGACCCCATGGACCACAGCACGCCAGGCCCTCCTATCTTCCACTGCCTTCCGTAGTTGTGTCAAATGCATCTTGGTTGCTTCGATGACACTGTCCAACCATCTCATCCTCTGTCGTCCCCTTCTCCTCTTACCGTCACACTTTCCCAACATCAAGGTCTTTTCCAAGGAGTCTTCTCTTCTCATGAGATGGCCAAAGTATTGGAGCCTCAGCTTCAGGATCTCATCCTGGTCCCATCCCCTCCTGGCAAATCGAAGGGGAAGATATGGAGGCAGTGACAGATTTTACTTTCTTGGGCTCCATGATCACTGCGGATGGTGACAGCAGCCATGAAATTAAAAGACGCCTGCTTCTTGGGAAAAAAGCGATGACAAACTTAGACAGCATCTTAAAAAGCAGAGACATCAGATTGCCGACAAAGGTCCGCATAGTCAAAGCTATGGGTTTTTTAGTAGCGATGCATGGACATGAGAGTTGGACCATAAAGAAGGCTGAACACCAAAGAATTGATGCTTTTGAATTGTAGTGCTGGAGGAGACTCTTGGGAGTCCCCTGGACTGCAAGGAGAACAAATCTATCCATTTTGAAAGAAATCAACCCTGAGTGCTCACTGGAAGGACAGATCCTGAAGCTGAGGCTCCAATACTTTGGCCATCTCATGAGAAGACTTCCTGGAAAAAAACTTGATGTTGGGAAAGTGTGAAGGCAGGAGGAGAAGGGGACGACAGAGGATGAGATGGCTGGACAGTGTTATCAAAGCGACCAACATGAATTTGACCAAATTCCGGGAGGTGGTGGAAAACAGAAGGACCTGGCGTTCTCTGGTCCATGGGTGTCATGAAGAGTTGGACACAACAACTAAACAACAACAACAACCCTTGTTTAATTGATCTTTTGTATTTTTCTAAATGGACCCAACTGTCCGTTTATGGAAGAGGAGAGGCTGGGGAAATGAAATGCATGGATGACATCC